TATTCTACACCTCTCAAGTCATTTCACAGAGTCGAACTAGAGTCAAGCTCAACAGGGTCTTCTTTCCCCGCCGATTCTTCCAAGCCCGTTCCCTTGGCTGTGGTTTCGCAGGATGGTAGATAGGGACAGTGGGAATCTCATTAATCCATTCATGCGCGACATTAATTAGATGACGAGGCATTTGGCTACCTTAAGAGAGTAATAGTTACTCCCGCCGTTTACCCGCGCTTGGTTGAATCTCTTCACTTTGACATTCAGAGCACTGGGCAGAAATCACATTGCGTCAACATCCGTTGGGGCCATCACAATGCTTTGTTTTAATTGAACAGTCGGATTCCCCTCGTCCGCACCAGTTATGAGTCCGCAGTTTGATGCTTAGGGAGAGTCCCACRGCCCCACCCGAAAGGTGGGGACATAAGACATTCTACGCCCGTCGGCACACTGGCACGCGGGCTCCGCCCTCGCCGCGAGAGCAGCTCGGGCAGACCATCGGCAGCCAACGACATCGAGGCGCAGACCCCTAGGCCCAGCCCTTAGAGCCAATCCTTTTCCCAAGGTTACGGATCCATATTGTCGACTTTCCTTTGACCAGAGGCTGCTCACCTAGGAGACCTGATGCGGTTATGAGTACGGTCGGGCGTGAGAGGTACCCGCAGCTCCAGATTTTCAAGTGCCGTTGCGGGCGCGCCGGACACCATTGGACACACGGTGCTGTGCCGCGCGCTGCACCCTATCTCAGGTTGATCCGATTCTAGGGTGGGCGAGACGTCAAGAAGGAAAGAGAACCCTCCCCACGGCCCCCGCCGGCATCTCCGGAGCTGCTTACGTTACCGTCCACCTCCACAACCCGGTTCGGGAATATTAACCCTGGACCCCCTTTCGTTGTGCGGCGCGCAGTGCACACTTGATACATGGTTTCCACATCTCTTAGGGCCGACYGACCCATGTCCAAGCGCTGTTCACATGGAACCCTTCTCCACTTCGGTCTTCAAAGTTCTCATTTGAATATTTGCTACTACCACCAAGATCTGCACCGGGACCCGCTTCACCTAGGCTCACGATCCAGGCTTCGCAG